GATCCTTGCCGCCCTAATCGAGTCTCCGGATGACGACTGTGGACAACGGGTTGAATGACGCGTCATGAATCATTACGCTCTTATCATTATCTTAGCGTTACGCTACTTTTTGGGATATAGGTCACATTTATTAACTGGGAAGCAGAGGTGTATGCGATGGTGCGGCGCGTGGAGTATTCCCTGTCACAGCAAGACCAGTTTCTAGTTCGCTACGACGAAAAGACGTGTCGGTGCGGCGCGTTTGACGGTGCCAAACCCGGTCTCCACGAGTTCTTGATGCTAGCCAGTGAAAATTCTGTATCATATTATAGGTAACGCTCATCTTCTACCAGCTCTTATCACATACCCGCGACAACAACCGGCAGAGAACGGTTTCCGCACCGTGGCACTCACATTGCCTGACACGCCTCTTCGTCCGCAGCGAAGTAGAGTCTACATTTCTTGCATGCTCTGCTCCCTGACTGATATAAAAACGCTTCTGATTCAGTACAATCATGTGACTATTTCACCGAAAAAAATCAATGGCATAAAACAACTTAATCATAAAACTATTGACAATTTACCAACATGAAAGCAGCTGTGGGGTCAGAAACCGTGGTGGGGCATTTGAAGGACTCCTAATGAAAAACTAGAATCACGCAGTGAAGACGAAGTTTCTGCATAAGCTTAAGGGCACACCCGCTTTTGAAAATGGTAAGTTGTACGGCTTATAACAGGCGCTAATCAGCATAGCAGCAAAGAATAAATCAGAAAAATACTCGGCGGAATAGAAGCCCATGTGAACCGCGCTTGTGCGTTCACAGAACGAGGAATAGGGCGTGGTTGGACGAGTTCTTAGTTGGTGGTCTCAGATCTTTCTCCATATGACCTCATCCTTTCCATTCAAAATGGTGAGAGCTAGTAGCGGAATAGTCGCACTACCAGGAAGCCATCAGTATTGAAATTCGGGCGTTGTCACGACCAGAGGGCGGGGCTGTAGCTTCGCGAGCGGGTCGCGCTCTGCTCACGCATTTTTGAGACGAAGGTTGTACGTCCTCCATGCTTGCGGATAAGACTACCATGTCCACAAGCATGTCTGAAGACGGCGTTCACACATCAAATGAACGTGTGGCGTGTCTTATAATGGTGGAGAACTCAGTGTGGATAAATTAGGGTGTGTGTAAGAAGATCGTGATTCATCACGCTCCTGTGAGGCGCGCGGTGCGAGCGGTCGCACCCGCATGGTTCCAGGTGAAAGTAAAAGATGGCACAACAGATTGCATAAGCCGAAAATAGTCAAGTGATGTTATCGGATGAACGGAGTCTCATGAAGTCCGGGTGCTTGCCAACCGACAGGTTAACACGGGTTAGGAAAAAGGAAAAAAGGAAAAAAAAGGAAAAAAAATTTGCCATTCCGCCGCGCCCGTCGCCGCGCGCGGCGGAATGGCAAATCAACGGTCTTTGCCCGTCCTCTGCCCCCGAATAGACCATCTTCAAGTACGGTGTTTTCTATATCGGGGGACGCCTCCATTTTGTGGTAAAGTAGTCTTCCATGACCCGCCTTTCTACGGTTACTAGTTTTTGCTTTAAAGCTCATCTTCTTATTTGTTTCTGATACTTTTGGTGATCTACAGATGTGAAACCAAAGCATTTTATATCGTAACCTTTGCTTGCGTTCAAGGCGAAAGTGCTGTTCATAAGGGTCTAGATTATGTTAGAAAATAGAGCAAAAAAATTGTACTAATTAAGAATTGCGCCAAATGACGTGCCTGCTCTAATCAGCGTACAGATATCGATTTTTGGACGATTACAAGGCATCTATCAACCGCGATTTCTTTCACTGGGAGAGTTCAGACAAAACCTGTTGTCATGTCGTGAGCTGAGAATTAGAGAGGGGAAAAGCGGAGAGGAAGAGGAGCAACGACTATATGTGGGTAAGAGGGGGCAGACGAAACACAATTAGGTCACCCAGCTTTGCGCTTCGCAGGTGAGACTGTTCTTGTTTTGCAAGCCATGATATCTGCAGTTACAACCAGCTTAGCTTCCAGGTACAGCTTGAGGATTTGTTAATCGCGAAGTCGGTTGGTATAGCACTTTGTCATGACATCCCTTGTCTATTGCATGCACGCAGTCACCGCTTCTTCCTTTTTCCTCATTTCAGAACGACGCGACGAGAAGATCAGGGCACGTCCTTCCGCTTGCAAGATACCCCTCGCCCCACACACAAGATATCCCCCTCTGGTATGACACACTATTCTACCTATCACCCTGCTGAAGTTTCCCAAGATTTTTCCCCAGTGTTGCTCTTGAAGGAAATTACGGCCGTCCTTATTTCAAACCAAATAGACTCCTTGTCTGGGATCCCCAACGTATGAAGTGCTCTAGGGAAAATATCTTCGAGTTCTCGCAGAGGGAGAAATTTCTGTCGGCAGATTACTGCCTGGTAATCCACGGCTGCATTGTACAGTCTTGTTCGCTGCAGATAAAGGGGCGTGTCAGTGGGGCTGGGTGCGCGCTTTTCCATTCTCCACGAGTTGCTGAAGTGGCTAAGTGACGACAGCTTATAGAAAATGATTGACATCAACGATATGATGCAGTTTTGTCACTTGCAGAACGAAATAAGGGCTGGCGTCGTGCCAAACCCACTCCCTGCTTGACGCGCCCCATCAATCGCAGCGAACAATACTATATATGTGCTACAGTATCCTCGCTGTGATTCTGACTTCGGAAATCAATCGCGTAAAGTGCTAAGAGCTCGAGTTCAGTTCAGAGATCATGGTAGTCAACTACTCACCCGGCTCGCACAACTCCGCATCGACTCCCAGCTCTGTGATGTGACCCTGGTCGCCGAGGTAATTCACGAAATTGATCGGCCTGAAATCGTGCTTAATTGAAAGATTTTCCAGGGAACACGTATCAAAGCCAATCGAACTCTACTCGCTGCATGTTCAGATTATTTCAAAGCTATGTTTACAAGCGACATGGCAGAAAGCCGTTTGCGTATGTCGTGCTCGTACTTTCTTCTGTTTCTCGTCTTTCTTTAGATTGCGTTCACACTTTGCAACTTCAGCGATTTGCACGACTGCGTCCAGAAGCGCTCCAGCGCTAATTGTTGCAAGTGATGAATAGGACTTTTTTCTGATCACTGGTAGCGGTGCAACGATTAGCGACAGAGCGGGTTCGTCTGGTCACAGTCGCGCGATCAACTCGTCGGCAATGCGGATAGTGAACGTGATTTTAATTTTCGCCAAGTACTGCAATCGTAGATATTGCCTATTTTTTTGTACTTCTTTTTTTTGCCCAGAGGAAATAGAAATGGTGGACATAGAAGCTTCGACGCTTGATGCTCTAATCAACTACTGCTATTCTGGTAAGATAAAGCTCACTGACGCCAACGTTGTAAATATTTTGGGCGGCGCTTGCCTGCTTCAATTACCTAAAGTTAAGGTATGTTAAGTTATGTTATTTATAAGTGTGTAAGTGGGACTTTCACGCGACAGTGAGGCGGTACTAGGACCAGGCTGGCGAGCGGTCCTACACCGTCACATCGATAATGGCTGATACGCCCATTCAACTGATTTCTGTTGTTTTCAGCTTTTAAAAGCTAAAATTAATCTTCTTCCGGCTTTGAAGAAAAAGATAAGTATATTTCACTGAAGCTAGATTTTATTTTGCATGATTTTTGACAAAAACATCGAAGATAAACGACGACATTCAAGTGGAGTTCAAGAAATGCGAAAATAGGAGGGAGAAACCAATTTTCTAGGAAGGATTCGCGCTAAAATCATGCAAAATGTAATCTAGTTCCAGTAAACATACCTTTCCGAATTGTAGTCGAACAAAGGTTTGCACATTTTACAAGCAGAGAACAAGAGGAATGCAGCAGAAATACCGCAGAGATCAGCTGACTGGAAGGTTAGCAATTACCGATCGACGAGTCCAGACGGAAGAGTGAGTAGATGGTGCGGCGACGTGTGTTCGAGCAGCAGAGTCAATGTCAGAGAGCGCAGAGGCATTAATTCCCAATCGGTCTCATCCACACCCTTTTTCCGGCCGATGACGCAACCGTCGGACCGCTCGCCAGCGTATTCGTAGGACCGCTCCAGCGTCGGCTGAAAAACTCCACTCTACCTAGCTGGAGTGTATTTACAAAACGGAAATTTCCGGTGATTCAGATCTGTGATTTTAGGAAGAGTGCTGTAATTTTCTGAAGAAAGGGTTAAATTCGTCAAACTGCCTGAAAATTCGAAAAATCGCGGATACTTATGCATGTCCAGAGCTCCTGCAATTCACTGAGAAATACATCCTGCACAACTTTCGGGTTTGCTTCCTTGCTTCAATTTCAGATTTGGGGAGGACTTTGATTTCATTGCAGGACATTTCTAATACAGGGAGAACTCAACCTACTTTCAGTTGACCAGTTAACTGAACTAATTTCAAGTGACAAGCTCAATGTGCGATCAGAAAAGCAGGTATGCAGACTTACACGCTTCATGAAGGAAGTCATACATTTGTTATCAATCAGTTCCTCAGTCCTTATTTCTTATTACCAGTCGCTGATGAATGTTCATGCAGGTCTACACTGTAGTGCTTATGTGGGTCAAGTACGATCTGCCAGCAAGAAAACAGTTTCTATCAAAGGTAAGATTACGCCCCACTTCAAAGACTGATCAAATCATGGGTGAAATGGCTTCCTGCATTTGATAGTCAGGTCTCGAGTTGCCTAGAGTGGCCACTTTCTCCTCTCGAAAGTGCGAGATAAAAACCCAGAAACAGGTGAATCGCATCCGTGAGGCCTCTTTTGCCTTCAAGACAACGACTTACTGGTGACATTTACCGCGCTTTTTGCTTGCAACCTCATAGGGCGGCTTCGCATGCGCGAAAATTGCCAGCGTGTTGGCCGTTGCCGCCTACACGCTTGGTGCTCAGGAGTTGCTCTGCTTTCGTGGGATGGCTTTTTTGGGGACAGTCGGTACACTCAACCAAAAGTAGCCCTTCTCACAAGGCTAGGTGCGTTTTGACGTTTCTTCTAATCGCTAGCGGCGCAATAACATTGGTGCAATAATTCGCAGGTTCACATAATTGCTGCTATTTCGCTTTTATGCAGTTTCTTTTTTTGATTTGTCCTAGCGTTGGAAGGCATCTAGTTCTGAGTGATACGAAGGAACTATCTGTGAATCAGAAGGTGCGCAAGGCCTCATGGACCGATTTGCCACCAAGTTCGAAAAACTCGTATAGTTAGACTGCCAAGACGGCGTTTATTTAGGACCAGTCGCCTCGCCAGCTAACGCCGGCGCGGGCTCCTTCTGATACGGCCCGGCGGGCGGGCGGCGCGCGGCTTCGCCGCGCGTGCTTTCTTTCACATATTTCTAGACTTCAACTGATATCCCCCTTTTGTTCTGTACTCCACTTTTTTCCGGTGTCTGAAGTACTCTTGAGCTATTTTACAGATTCTTCGTCTGACTCCGCCCACCTCGGAGCAGGCCCCGCCCACAGTTTGTGCCCCACAGTCCTCACCGGCGACCCTCTGCTGACCTTAATCCACTTTTTCCGCTCTTCGGGGTGCTCTGGAACCGTTTTATCTAGGACCTTTTGTTCTGGTCTCGGTCACCTCGGGGAGCAGGCCTCCGCCTACAGTTATGTTTTTTGCCCCACATATTCCCTCTTACCGACAACCCTTCTGCTGTGTACTTTATATCCACTTTTTTTCCGGTATCTGGAGTGTTCTGGAACCGGGCTACAAACTTTTAAAATGAATACCCTGCGATTTAGGGCAAGCTCCGCCCACTGTGGGCGGGTCTCAACACACTTTGAGCGTGCCCTATATTCGCCGGATATTCTAAATGAGTCTATCAGACTGGAGTTTTTTTGCGACTTCTCAAACACTTCTCGCGATACCGGGTTACTGAATTTTGCGAAACCACCCGCCACTTGAGTTACTGCCTCGCCCATTGTAGGGTGTATTTTTGTCCAGCATGCTAGTCTGTGCAGCTCCATTACTGAACTCTTAACCCTTTTTTTCTCCCCATCCTTTAAGAGGGCTCCGGAAGCGATTAATACATTTTTCTGCGTGAACCCTATAACCTTCCGACGAACAGTGCCTCCCGCGTCTTCACTGTGGGCGGGGCTTCCCATAGGTCAAGTGTGCTTTTTATTTCTTGTCCCATGCCCTACCTATCCCCACCTTGACTGGACCTCTCCAAGTCGTTCTTCAGGTCGAACCGAATTTCCGGACAGACAAACTTACAAACTTACAAACCCAATCATTAAGGGGGGGGTGGGGGGTGATTAACCCGTCGCTGATAAATGTTCATGCAGTTCTACACTGTAGTGCTTAAGTGGGTCAAGTACAATCTGCCAGCAAGAAAACAGCTTCTATCAAAGGTAAGATCACGCCCCACCTCAAAGACTGATCAAATCAGGGTGAAATGGGTGAGTGCCATTGGGTGAAATGCCCTCCTTCATTTGATAGTTAGGTCTGCAGTTGCATAGAGTGACCACTTTCTCCTCTCGAAGGTGCGAGATAAAGACCCAGAAACAGGTGAAGCGCATCCATGAGGCCTCTTTTGCCTTCGAGACAATGAATTACATGGTGAATTACATTACTTGTTGCCTGCAACGTCGTAGGGCGACTTCGCATGCTTATAAATTTTCGTTTTTTTTCTTCACGCGTCACTTGTCAACTTACACATCTATAAATGAACACCAGTGCAATTAATATGCAGTCGCTACAGTTGCCCTTAAAGTCCTATGATGTTTCCCTTGGTTGCAGTTGCTGGAGCATGTACGACTTCCGTTATGTCCTCCCCAAATTTCTGGTCAATACAGTCAGCAAAGACCCGTTAGTGATGGATGACGCTGCCTGTCACGCTCTTGTCGATGAAGCAAAGGTTGGAAGTTTTCAGCGAAAAGCTGCTTTTATCGGCGTATGTGTAACAATATTCTTATGTTTCATAACTATCAAATTCTTCAACTGTCCACCCACAGAGAACCACAGATGAAAGGACCGCGCACTCAACTGCGGAAATCATTCAAATTTGGTGAGATGTTATACCTTACCGAGGAAAAGTACTACAGTCTCTGTTCAAATGTGTCGTTCATCAAGGGAGATGGTCAAGACAATCGTAATTCGCAGCCCCTTTACGTGTGGTGATCAGGTAGGCAAAGCAGATGCCAGCCCATCAGCTGGACGCAACTGCATCATCTGCGCCACCACTGAACTATCGTATCCTAACGCTAAAAAGCTTCCACAATTCCTATTAAGTATTTCTCTCTGACTGTTCATGCAGACTTGGCCAAAGATTTGTTACTAAGGGGTAGACCAAATCCTGAACACAAATTCACATCTGCATGGGGTGTCGGTAGAGTTGAGGATGAAGGAAAGGGGTTAAAGTGACAACGCAGCCTGCTATGCTTGTGTGCACTGTTCTCCTTAGATAGTCTTCCCTCCCTTTCACTGGTAATGATCACTGTCGTGCGCGGCCAAGAATTATGCTGTATTGTCTTGCCGTGTTCGCCCTACCACACAGCTTGGCGTGGAATGGCCAGGAAACCTTGCTACACGCGTCGGGGTCAGAACAAGCGTGTGGTTCCTGTGACAGGCGGTTAACGATTTAGTGCCAAACGAATGTCTTATCCGTGATCAGACGCCGAATAATCCCTGTATGCAAGCTTACACCGATTACGGTGAAAAAGCTGATGGCGTCAGATTGGTGCCTAGTGGCGCCAAATTACGCCAGCGCTTGAAAAGATTATAATCATTATCCGGACACCAAACAACCCTACTATGCAACCTAAGATTGAATTTGGTGAGAAAAGTGATGGTGCCAAACCGTTGCCAAATGGACCAAGAGGCGCTACACCGAAAACTAATGCAATATTGGTGGTCAGGACAGTGGATTCTCCTTACGAGCAGAGTTTCAGCTAAAAAAGATATCCGAGTTTTAGAGTTAGTAATACTCAAATTTGGCTGCTGACTGTTGCAAAGAAGTGTAGTGACCGTTATTGCATACCACCCTCCTTACTCCACTTTCCCCACCCTTCAACGCTAAGGCTGAGCTAGTCAGAAGGAGTGATTTCCCTTCATTCTAGGCTCAGCTTTAGCAGAGCGCAGATGATCGAATTGTTAGCGCCAGCAGCCAAAACTGAGCGCGTCCAAACGGCAACAGTCTTTGACAGAGACTCTAGAAACTCTTTAGCTATGGGCGTGGGGTACGGTAGTTTGGGGCGGCGCAGATAGTGCAGTTGCACATGGGCTGGCGTCTGCTTTGCTTACATGGGCAGTTACGGGCGCGGCGTTTTGTTAACGTGCATTAGCCTGTCGATTGGAGCGCCAAATCTCACGTAAACTACGACATCGTGGACAATTATTGCTATTTTTGGTTACAGTTTCTTAACTGTCTCGACATAGGGACATGAACATTTTCGGGCCCGATACCGATGCGATACCCGCGCTTGCGCACGAATTACGATTGTCTTGTCGCATACCCATTCATCACATCCGGGTCGCGGCATCGCACGCGAATCACCTCATCTTAGCGAGTTGGCTCCACCCTTAGACTACTTCATGGCAGCTTACGTTATAGGGCGCCATTGTCTTCCGCAGCTGAGTGTGTACCGTGAGGGCTACAGTAAAGGTCGGGTAATCATAAGACTGATGAGAAGGTGGGCAACAGAGTTTTGCAGTAAACAATCAGGCTTTTTGTATTGAAAGTTCAACGAACGACTCTGAAGATAAAGATATTTCAGTTTTACTAATTTTGAAGCCAATGATGAGAAAGAAATTGACTCGAACTGAGTTGAATGCGAAGTCACTTATTCGTTGACGACAGAACCGCACTTGACCATTACTATATGTACTTCCGCCGCTAATTGGTTCAGTCCGCAGGCTCAGGAGGTTTTCCCTTTTCTTGCGATTCCTTTGAGTGACGAGGGTGCTGCGGCCGTCATAAATTCAAGTTCTGACATCCGCTGTTGAAGTTGAACCGCCTACCCAGAAGCGCCCTTTTCGCACTTGAAGACACATGGTACGATCACACATATTCTTGGGTGTGCGTGACTATCAGCCCCCCCCCCCCCCAGCTGTCGAAGCGTAGCGGTTTCCCCGTCCTAACATGCGCAGGAATGGAGATACAGGACCGTGAAACACGCTAATTCCTCCATGCTCCGCCCAATGCCTTTTGCGGCGCAGACTCCCGTTTATGCTAACAGCCGTCCGCGCGGCGCGTGTCGCGCGCAGCGCTCTTGGCACTTTGCCAAGTCCTGTAATTGCGCTTTGGAATACAAGTAAAACGCAATTTCCTGATGCGGATAACATTTGAGGTGTTGCTCATGCTGCAAAGTCCATGTAAATAAAACAAAAATGAAAAAAAGGAAATGCAAATTAATTAAAATCGCGTGTAAATTTCTGCGATTCGGCGCGATTCCGGCTCCAAAGCCATAGAAATACTTTAAACTAACGAGTGGGACGCTTAGGCCGTTTTTATTCATGTTTTGTGGGAATGCGCGGCCTCCGAGGGATATTGCAGAAGCAGCACAGTTGCTCTTGAGTTCTGGCCCTCGTCATCATCTTCGGTTCTTATTTTGCAGCACCTAAAATGTTATCCGCATCAGGAAATTGCGTTTTCCAGATTCCAAAG